TTGTTTAGTTTGATGGGGAACAGGACTCACAGTGCCTGTAAGCCTTTTAGCAAAGATCAACCATCATAACATGAGTGATCGTTTGTCCAATTGCCAATTCTGGGCTACCGGTCTGATGTAATACTTGCAAGGCCTGCACGTGTTGTTGAGATGCTAAAAAGCTGAGTTTGATTGTTCCATGAGAAGATATCAGCTCTCTTCGTATGACAAAATGACTACAGAGAAATAAAGAGATCAACTTTTGGATGTCGGAAAACCACGGAGTCCTTCAATCGCCATTTGGATTGCGCGAGCCTTGGTGGATGCATCATACAATTCAAAAATTGTCTAGTGATGTTTTGGTTGGGATAGATGCCAGGATGATGGGGGGGGGTCGGAATTGGTGGGTTGTCGATGTTGGTATCTGCTTGATCACAGCGAGGTGAATCAAACCAGAGCTGTGTGGCAAAAACCAGCAGCTGAAACTGCTGCACAGCAGCATAACAACATAACTTTAGTTCTTGGAAAACTTCGGTTTGTCCAAGCTTTGTTCAAAACACAATAGGCCGGTTCACGTCTGAAGTTCAAGGCAACTTTTAACACACTTGAAGATAAAATTTTATGAATTTTGTAAAATTTCATGAAGCATCAAGTTTGGAGGAATTTGAGATTTTTGGTAAATTTGCAAAATTTTAATGATAAATGTCATTAAATTTGCCTCAAAGTTCAGACGTGAACCGTCCTAATATGTCTATTAATCATGCATGTATAAGCAGTGAAGCCTTTCCGGAAGCCCATATGTAAGTACTCAGGGTGTCCATAAGGGCGTAGCAGAAGATACATAAAAGGAGCATGTGTCCCAAACAATGTTTTCCCAAAAAAAAAAAGAACAGCTGGTCGTCCAATCGCAAAACTGAAAGAGATTTAGCATCTACACCCTCCAAAAAGAGTCCAAAAAAACAAAAGACACTGTTGTGGAAATCATGGACTCCTACAGTACTCCTACTATGGTGTGGATGAACATTCTCAGCGGGTGATACGGGTGGTCAACTTGGCCTTTTGCTGGGCGGTTGTTACAGTAATGTGGTGTCCCCAACACACAGGACGTACACCCCAAAATTGTGTTGCTCTTCCTTACGGGTTAAGCAGCTCAGATCTCACATCACTTCCAAACCTATCTGGATCCCTAGAGTTGTGACAAGTATGATTCAATCTTCACCATGCACTTTCCTTGCACAAATGACATGTTTACTGCATGGGCTATGTGCTCTGATTGATCCCTCAGAAGCTTCCATGTCCTCTCTGTGGAAAGGGTTGGCAATGGAATAATACCTTGTTACCCTTGCTTGGGATATTGCACCCCCCACACACCCCACCAAAAAGGGCCTTATCATGTATCAGTATCATCACTGCTCCTTGCAAGGATGTGACAGATACACAGTAGATATGATGGTGAGATGATTGACGTTAAATATAAATCAATTTAGCTTGAATGTAAGAGACTGGGGAAGGGGGAAGAGGGCAACAAGAGGAGAGTGGAAGTTGGATAAGAAGTATCTGGAAGTGGTATGTTTGTATATATGTGTACGAGGGCATAGCCCCCATTTTTGGGGTTTGAGGGGGGATTTATAGAAAAAAGGGTATTTTTCAAGTTTCAAAGGGGATAAATGTCATTATTAAGCATTTTGGAGATTGTCAAGGAAAGGGTTTGAGTAAATTGAAAAAGGCAAAAACAGGGATGAAAATTCAATGTATGGAACAAAAGAAATAAAGGAGAAAAAATTGAGAAGTGATCTAAGAATATAGGAAATCTAACAGTGAAAAGAATGATTATATACAAAGGGAAAAGAATGCCTATATACAACAATTTATGGAACAAAACTAAAAATTAAATCAAAGAAAGAAAGAAGAAATTAAGAAGTGATCTAAGAAAACGTGAAAGACAACAGTCAAAAGAATGATTATATACATAAGAGCACATGAATATTATCATGGCCCATGGACACGTGACAGAACTTCTTTGTAAACAATATTTGATGTTTCATATGAAGGAGGCCCATTTTCAGGTTGAGGAACTACCACCTTTGTAGTATGGCTGGACTTACTTCGTGACAATGCAACATAGAGCTGTCCATGACTAAAGACAGGATCATGAAGTACAATTCCCACATTTCCAATTGTCTGACCTTGAGATTTGTTGATTGTCAGTGAGAAAGCAAGATTTATGGGGAATTGTTTGCGTATGAGCTTGAAAGGCAATCCAGATTCATCAGGGTCTGATATGAAAGGAATGCGAGGTATGGCTACCAAATTGTTGACTCTGTTTCCTGACATCACCTTTGCATAAATGACATTTGGGCCCAAATTTTCTACAATCAATCTGGTTCCATTACAAAGTCCCATTGTCCGATCAAGGTTCCTCAGCATTATGATTGGGACCCCCCTTTTCAATTCCAGAATATGAGGAGGAAAGCCTGAAATAGTTAAACTATTGATATATTCCTGCAAGTATAGGTTTTGGGGGTCATCTTCAACTGAATCGTAGCTTGTGTAAGTCCTGCCTTCTGATGGAATGGTTTGCAAGATCCTAGCATTTATTTGGTTTACTGAAATATTCTTGCAGCAAAGAATAGCCCGGTCCAGAAAGTATTCAGGATGCAAGAAGGACCTGGTTATATTTGGGAATATTTGAGAGATGAGATGATCCAAGTTTTGCTCCTGGGATCCACCATGAATGACCATTGAGGCTGGCAGCTGTATTTTGGTTGAAATATTAGTGACACCTTCTCCATTCCCAACAGACAATAAAAATTGCTGAAAATGAGGATCCCCAGCGGCACGCATGTTGATGGACAGCTGAATTATGTTCTGTTCAAAATATCTCCAGCAGTGAGAATTGACTATGCTGGAATTAACAATCTGAGGGCGGGAACCCTTCCTGACTACAGGTAAAACCTGACAAAAATCTCCACCTAGGACCATTACCTTGCCACCAAAGGGTAGATCTGAATCCATCAAGTCTTGAAGCAATCTATTGACCAATTCAAGTGCATGCCTGTGTGTCATTGGGGCTTCATCCCATATGATCAACTTTGAATGCTTGAGAACATCTGCCTTTTGTGAGTGTTTGGCAATAGAAGAAACTGAATTATGCAGTAGCTTGGGAGGAATTCGAAAAGTTAGGTGAGCCGTTCTCCCATATGGCATGTTCATAGCGGCAATTCCTATGAGGCAGAAGAGAAAATTAGGTTGAGTATATGTTAATCAACTGATCATGAAATTGAATTAACATACCACTACCAGCACATGCAATAGCAATCCTGTGGGTTGATCTTACATTGGCAAGTAAGCAATTATATAAGAATGTTTTTCCAGAGCCACCGGGCCCATCAATAAAGAAGCATGCTGGTTGTTCAGAATTGCAGGCATGGATAATTTGATTAAAGGCAGACCTCTGCTGATGGTTAAGTTGATTGACATTATCAATTTGAGCTGGATCCACATTGAAGCTTGATCTTTCTTCATCCAACATCCAATTTCTGATTTGCTGGTTCCTTCCTACTGAAGGATCATATCTTGGTAGATCAGGAAATGATAAATCGACGCGTTGTAGACCATTCTGGAGAAGGATTGGATTGATTACTTCAAGGATTTGATTTGTCATCAGTGCATCATCTTGGCAACCTTGATGGATCCAATCATCTGTCATGTAATTGTAAGAAGCATTCCATAAGCGGAGAGGATTTGAAGGTTGGCATGTTGCTAATAGTATGCCAAATAGTCTCCGCAAATAAGATGGTGACATTGAAGAATCTGCTTCTGCCATTGTTTCTTCCAAATAATGATCATTTTCCAAGAGACCCCAAGCCAACGCAGCTGAACGGAAACTTTCGTAGATAGTACCCTGGAAGGTTCTCATATCTTCAAAAGAAGTAGCTCCACAGACATGATTTAACAATAACCGTAAATACCATCTTTCTGGGTCTGATGGAAATACCGAATAAATCCTTCCAATTGAGCTTCCCCTTTGCCTGGGCTTCCATTCTTTTGTACTGGCATGCCATGTGTAATACCTGGGGAATTCAGCATATTTTAACAATCTTGCTTGTGGATCAATCCTATTTCTTGCAAAGTAACCGGTGAGCATTGTGTTGACTTCAGCAGCCCTTTCAATAACATCTTGCAATGGTTCATCTTGAGGGAATTTTACTCGATGTTGATTTGGCAAATGAATGTCTAATCTGTTAACTGATGGATAAGTGGCAGATAGTTTGAAAGAGAATATCCTCCAACATGCCTCGGGAGCGGCCACCCAGCGTGAGTCCCTGAATCGATTAACCTCATCAATGGTTTCCCCAACATCTAGAACAACTTTATCATGGCCCTTGTATACATATTTGTAGAGGTATTTGACTGCAGATATTTCAGCACAAATTTCTACATTTATGTGGCATTGATATGTTGCTGAGAGGTAAGTGTTGTAAGGCACCACCCAACGGTTGTCAATAATGAAGTTGTTGTGACCTCTCTGGATTGTATTACCATTTGACCTTCTCCTATATAGTGGGTAAGAATTTTCATTAATTACAGTTTCAGGACTAAACTGCTTTGGGAATTTCTTTGAGCAAACACCGTTGACCATGCATGGTGCATCTGGGTTGTAAGGTCCACAGGGCCCATGAATCATATGTCTTGATACTGCTTGGTAAAGTGCTGGATCTTCAAACTGATCTGGAATTTCTGCAGAAACAATTTGATCAATGTCTTCAGTTGTCCGAGGTATGTATTCTGATTCCAGAATGACTAAGATGTGGGCATGAGGCAGGCCCCTCTTCTGAAATTCTATCACATGTGTGCGGCCCTTAGTTTTCCCAAAAATTCCTTCTTTGAAAATCTGATCACAAATTTTTTTCACCCTTGCATTGAATACACGTGCTACAACATCTGGTCGGTCTTGTGCCGACTGTCCAGGAAGGAGGTTTCTTTGTATTTCAATCCAATCAGGGTTGCAAGTGACTGTTATGAAAAGATTTGGTTTTCCCATAGTCTGGACCAAAGCCATTGCATCTTGGAACCTTGCTTTCATGTCACGTGGGCCACCAATGAAAGATGTGGGTAACACTACTCTCCGACCTGATAAAGAAAAAAGAAAAAGGATGAGAATATATTTTCAATATTATTATTGGGGAGAAATTATACCTGTTTCATTTCCCATTTCTGCACCATTTTGATAAGCGTCCACAACACCATAAAATTGGTCCACACGGAAATCTGATTGGTTGAGCCTAATATACAGCAACCTCTCAGTTTCTATCTTCACATATTGGTCCACACAGTATTGTTGGAAGAGTCGGCCAGACCAATGTAAAAGAGAATAGTCTTCATTGCGGAAGGCCAACCGATAAGCATAATAGTTCATGGAAGTTGCATTGGGCATTTCTTGCTTGAGTTCAGGACTCCAGCCAAGTTCTCCATTTGGATTCAACAGAACATAATGGAGTGGATCATATTTTCTGTCCAATTCAGATATTCTTGAGAGGTTCTGATGACGATACTTGATGATGACATCCCTTGTGTCAGTTGTTGATGGGTCGTTACCTTGAAGGAGGTAAATGTCAGAATTATTAAAACAAAATGCAAAAAATCCAAGTAAATCAAATACCTTCTACCCATATGGCTGCAATTTGGTCACCTGTGGGAAGGTTGTAAACCCTTTGGTCCACATTTGATGCATTATTTGTGAGCCTTATGGAGCGGTTTGGACTGATCTCAGAGGCAACCCGTTCAAACTGGCGTATCAGAGGATTAGAGTGGTGAAGTATTTCTTGGATTCTTGCCATGAGTTCTGGGATCAGATCCCTCCCGTGACGTTGACGATTTTCAAACTCGTTTTCATTATCGTATATGTAGAGCTGCAAGAATTTGGGAACTTCTTGTGACATTGGGATCAAACTTCCAATGTTATGGTGAATTGTCCCCTTGACCTTGAAAGTGTATATACCTTGCCCTTGGTTGTCCAAAGCAGCTCTGGTGGCAGAATTTATACCAAGAGAAGTAAATGCAAAGTTGCTATTTATCAAACGGATTGATCTTATCAGTTGATTTCCTTGAGCTGAGTGGTCTCGAGTTGCATCTTTGAACATCTGGAGTAAATCTGGAGGAGGGGGTGGTTGATGTATGTTGATCCTACCAGAGCGGCAGCAGAGGGAATTTGTCTCGCCTTGGAAAAGTATGGCATGACATATTTGACAACACCTCTCTCTTCTCAAAGTGTAAGGCCTGAAACCTGGAGGTTCTCTCCAACCCCATGCAAGTGGCCTGTTGAAATTTCTGCGGGGATTTTGCCCAGCAATATTGTTCTGTGAAAACTGTCCATTTTGATTCAAATCAATTCCAGGTTCATCATTCAAAAGAGCACCAGCAGGATTTTCAAATCCCACTTGAGATAAACGGTGATGAACATGATTTTCAATAAGGTCCAAATTAATTTCAAGAAGATCATCCAAGATTCTTGGTTGCTCCAAGGGAGGAAGGTTTGATGAATTTTGATAATTGGAGTAAATATTGACCGCATTGTGGGGTGAAAGATTTTGGGAATTGACCAAGTTGAAAATTGAAACCCTGGAGGTATTATTTTGTTGATCAAGTGGAATAATATTGTTGCGAGTGGTATGGGCCACATTTATGGTGTTCTGAGACATCCTTTCAGTCACCTGAGACATAGAATGCCTCCGTGAGTTGTCCCAATGTTGTGAGTTGACATGGGATTGTTGGTGATGCCTTGACAGTGAGTAAAGTGAGCCGTCGTGGGGGTCTGGATGATGTCTAGAATGTGAGTTGAGATGAGTTGGTGAATGATAGTTTGCAAGCAATCTATCATGGGTTTGTGGCTGATGTCTGGGATCCGCGGTTTCACGGGATGTTGATTGATATTGGGCCAGTGTGTTGCCATAAGAGGTTCTGCAATGATTGATGTGTGAGTTGTTGTGAAATGGTGTGAAATGTTGTGGGTTGTTGTGTGATTCTTGATGATATCTGGATGGTGAATCTCCTTGGTAGAGAGCATTGTTGTAGTTTTCTGGTTCATTGTACAGATGGTGAAGATGAGAGGCTTGTCCATGTTGCATCTGATGATATTGAGGTTGAATGGATGTGCCCCCCCTGAGTGAATCTAACCCCATTGTGGTGGTTTGATGATGATGGAGATGAGTTGGTGGAACGTGAGGGTAGTTGAAATATGATGATGGTAGAGGAGTGGATGGATAATGGAAGTGATTGGGGTTTGGTGTTGTGGTAACATTGAGCCGGGCATGTCTTTGCCTTTGATGGAATCTAGCATTTCTTTCCCTGTTAAATGCACTCCTGAGATCATCAACATTCCGGTTCATTGCAGAGTACTGATTCAGTGGAACTTGAGAAGATAAGAAAGGATTATTGGATTGATATTCTGATGGATGGAAGCACGGTAAAAAGTATTGTTTTACAGGATGGAAGATGGATATTTGAAAATTTTAGCAAATTATTTGACAAAAGATGCCCTATTTATGTTTGGCAAAAGTGTACGTAGTAGATTGAGGAGTTCAGATGGTTGCATGCTGTTTCAAGCAAAATAATACAATGGCAACAACATGAATAAATGGTAACAACATTGATAAAAGGTAACTAAAGCAACATAATTGATGTCCATGTCCAGATGGCAACATAATTGATGTTCAGATGGTCACAGTAGCTTTATTAATTGCAGGGAGCAACATGATTAATTGGTAGAAGCAACCAGTTTATATACATAACAACAAAATAACAACAAAATTGATTAGAAACATCAGCAAAATGTGTATTCATAACAACAGCATATGTCACGGTTTTCAAAGTGATGAGCAGGAAGCAAAGGTGTTGTTGATGTCTGATGAGCAGGAAGCGAAGGTGTTGTTGATGTCGCTTGTCGCTTGGACAGCGAGTTGCATAACAATGTGGACAGCGAGTTGCATAGCGATGGTTTGGTGTCGCTTTTGGAGTCGCTTTTGGAGGTGTAAGGGATGTTGCTATCGATTGGAAGGCTGAAGGTGTAAGGGAATGTCGCTAGCAAGTGTTAAGTCTTAGCGAATGTCAGAAATGAAATTGAAATGAGAAATATCGACGCCGGCGTTAGAAGCCGCATGAGAAATCAATAGAAAGGACTATTCAACCCTGAAGGTTTGTTTGGCCCTCTGAGGCTGTTTTTTTAGTTATATGTAGATATGTGTGTCCAAAATTATATGAAACCATCATCAAACAGGACAAAAAGAAGAATCAGAAGAAAGAGTAATAAGTGAATTAAAATCTCAAGATCAGACTCTTTATTTATTTTTTCTTAATTGTGTTTTGTAGAATCATAATGATGATGAGGATAGTGGATGAAGAACTTGAGTTGATCTTGGAGTTTGAAATGAATCTCATCTTTCTTAGATATTTGAAAAAAAAAAACATCATTCAGGGGGGGGAAGAAACTTGTTGAGAAAGAAAAAAAAAAACACCAAAGACGGGACCACAAAAAAAGAACACCTATTTATAAACAACTGAGGGCCATTAAGAGAAGCGCACAGTGGGCAGAGAGAGGAGAGATAGAGATCAAAGAGAAAAATAGAGAGGAAAGGGAACAATCAAGATCGATGGCTGTAGTCATTCTAACCGAATATTGATGGTAATTGTAAGCTGATAATAGGGGTTTTTTTTTTGGAGACTGATAGACAAGAAGTAGTTTCCAGAAAGAATGAGTATAATTCTAGCCTGAGAGCGTTTAGTGCACGTCTGTGTCATAAATGGAGCAGGAGTAGAGGAAATTTGAATGTCGAGTCCATAGCCAAGAAGTACCGAATCATTTCCTATGTAACACACACATACACACAAGAACGAGTCAGCAGGGAGAAGATGGTAAGAGATGAAGTGGAGGGAAGACTGACTTTACAATGACTTCGAATTTGCCGAAGTCGACGGAGCTCATGGCCCAGATGGCAGAGAGCCCTTCGGCAATCGAAGCAAACGGTTGGATGACGACTGCACAAGGAATGTGGATCATGATCCTCCACCACTTTTGACCGTAGTCCAATTCCTGGAATAACAGTCCCCAGAGATAGAGCCAGTAGAAAGTCACGAAGCAGAAATCCGCGCAGACAGCAACCCAGAGCGGCGTCAAGGACTTGTCGATCAGCAAGAAGGGGATGTTGATGATCGTCACTGCCAGGGTGAAGACTCCGACAATCCACAAGTTGACCGCAAAATGGGGTAACCCGTAACTATATGGTCAAGGAAGTCAGGTTACTGGCTGGTCTCAAATCGGCTGATGACAAGAGAATCGTGTTGCTACTTACAGACCATCGATATCACGAATACCCATGAACCATCGACGACGTTGTTTCAAGAAATCTCGCAGGGAGGTAGGCGACTGTTCTCGAACAATACCGTGAACTCGTCCACAAGTAAACCCACGTCTCCAGGCATCTTGGGAGAACTCGAAATCTTCAGCCAATCTGAAGGAGAAGAGTAAGAACGTAACAATTAAACTCCAGATCACACATCATATGGTAGAACTCAATCAAAATCTAACATACGATCCAAAATCCCATGTACATTCGTTCTCCATCTCCCCATTGGTCATCAAGAACGATCCATGAACTCCGAACACAGGTCGGTGAATGACAGTGTTTTGGAAGTGGAATCGGGCCAAATCATCACCAACACGGATACCATCAGCGACAGTGAAGTACCAGTTATCCCAGTAACCTTCACCGTTATACAAGATAATTCCTTGTCCGAAGTGGTGGGGAGTCTACAGTATAAGGGACAAGGGTCAAAGTCAGTCGGTCAATCGAAAAATAGAGGATGGCTGTCTTGGAGCAACTTACATATCTGATAAACTCAAGACATCGTCGCAAACTTTCTCCATCTGTTGTAGACTCCTCGTCCATATGTAAGATCCAATCATAAACCCCAAGCGAGACATGGTATCGGAAGTAATCCAAAGCCCTTGCTTTGTACTTGGCCTTTCCCAATGGCGAGACGTAGGACTTGGGACAAACGATATTTTGCAGATCGGGATAGACATAAGGCTCGTCCGTCAAGACAATGACTTTAACTACACACGAGGGAAAGGTATCGGTATGAGCACTCAGGCAGAGCGGACAGGAAAGGGAAGGAAATGAACTTACCAGCAGGATGATATTTCTCTAGCAGCAGAAGCTTGTTGTATCCTCTTCTCACGGCATTTTCATTCGACCCTTTGGTGACCAAGAGGATGAAAAAGTTGCGGACATACTCTCGGAAGACGGGCTTCTTCTCGTTTAGAGGCTCGACTTGGAGCAAGATCGGGTGTACAGAAACCGGCGAAGGCAAACAGACAGTTGGGGACCGAGAGCACCCACATGAACCGCCACAAGGTCGAAAACTACAGGTCACAAAAGGGGAAAGAGATGTGTCAGGAGGCGAGCATATAATAGCGAAAAAAGGGTGATCACTGACGGTAAATGCATCATAGGTCCAAGTACCAGTGGGATGGTACACAACCCAAAGCCCACTGATGAGGGGTACTATGATGATGTGGATAATCCAGGTATGTTGTTGGAATCGCAGCAAACGGGCCGTGCGTACGGCTTCAGCGTCTTGGCTCATGTCGGATGTCCATCGAGTCGAGTGAAGCTGGCTGATAACATCAGGGTCGGTAGGATCAGGAATCGCAGGTCTTGTGCAAGGAGTTCGCCAGTTCATGATGGTATGGATCGTCTTCCGAGTATTGGTGTACTTGGTCACCGTCTTGGTGCCGATCGCCTTGGCCATCCCACCCGGGGCGGTGATGAGCATGTTGCCGAACGCGCGCAAGGACTTCATGGGAAGACTGGCAGCGTTGGTCGGTTTGGACACAAAGAATCCATCCCAGATCCATTTGGCCAAGTTGAGACCGACTCGATCCAGTAAATGATAACCAGCCCATGCGAGCAAGATGTTGAAGAGTAAGCAAATCAGATAAGCTGGCATGACCATGTCCCAGTAGCTTTTGCCCTGGTCGTTCAAGTAGATGATAACTGGAGGCATGATGCTGTAGAGGGTGATGAATTGCATCAAGTAGAAACCGTAAGAAACTTTGCCGAGCCAGGTGAAGATTGACCAACTGGCGAGCCATTGCATAGCATGGGAGACCTCAACCCAGACGAGAATACAGAGCGGAGGTAGCCAATTTGAGATGAACATATACTGAGGCCAGGTGACACTCTGATCCCAACCAAATTTGCCGTCGTAAACAGTGATGTCGCCCATGAGGTTGTCAGCTGGAGTGGCGACTTTGGTACCTCCTGAAATCATTGCAAGAGCTAAGACCATGACCGAAATCTCGACGACCATCGTTGGTTTCCAATGGTCCTGAAGTTTCCGGATGAAGCCGGCAGCGTGGAGATCAGCGAGCCAGAGACCAAGCACATAGAGCATGTTGGGGCTGTTGATGAACCAGAGAGAACCGCAGACAGCCAAGTAGATCAGATATCGGCCGACCCATCCGACTTGAGCGACCGAAGCGGCCAGGATGTAAACGAGGACGGAGCCCCAGAATTGATCATAAGTCGTCCAGAGTGCCGATCCGACGCTGAGCATGTACTGGTGGCCACGGTTGGTAAACAAGTCGAGACAGAACTGAAGCAAGCCTCCAAGATTTCCTATCTGGTTCCACGTTGGCTCCCACAGGGCGGTAGGGGTTAGAATTTGGGCAGCTCTGATCGGTCGGTCACCGAGCATGCCTTGAGAAGCGATCCTCCATTGGATCAGTGCAACGATGATGGCTGGGAAAGCCAGACGGATGGAACGACGGAACAAGGAAGACGAAAGAGATAGCCAACGGGGACCGGTCCATCTGGCAGCCTTACCGCCGGGGATGGGAACACCGTGAGAGTCCTTGGGGACCATGGGTCGGGTGAAAGCGGAACGCAGGAAAGAGTGGGCGAGCACTCGACCACCGAGCAAGAAATACATCCCGACTGCCAACTGTCCGTTCCGAAGCAAGCCGTAGATACTACCGAGAGGGAGGACCTCGGGATGAGATTGGGCCCAGGTGAGATCACTGAAGTGATGAGTGAAGATGACCAAGGAAGCAAGGCCACGGATCCCATCGATCCATTCTAGACGATTCTGTCGACTGACGACGACGGGGGGAGGACTGATGATACCTTCGGCGGGAGCCGGAGGTGCTCGCTTTTCTTCAATGGCAGGGCTCGAAGGAGGAATGGGAACGTAGGTGGGACCTGCACCCTTAAGATCATCGGAGATGTCTTTGGTAGGGTAGGACCCAGGTGCGTATTTCTCATCACCAAAGGTAGTACCATCTTGGCTGGCAAGGTCACTGTTGCGCCAGTCGTGGTTGAGGGCAGTGCGAGAAGAGTTGAATGGGCCAGGGTTGAAGCTGTCAGTGCCAATGGTCGAAGCGCGGCCAGATTCTAGGCCGTCGGTGGCGTATGGGCCTTGTCGATACCGGCCATAAGCCGGTGAGGAGGGTGAGAAGGCATCACCGGGGACATACGCGGGCTGTTGTGGATTGCGGGGGTTGTAAACATCATAGCCATCCGACTGGGAGAGATAGCCGATGATTTGAAAAATCAGGATTGGTTCACAAGCGAGATGCCAGAAAACAACCAGGAAGAGTCAAGAGGTTAGCGGCGTCACAGAGGGGGGGGGGGGGGGGAGAGAGAGAGAGAGAGGAGACTGACTTCGCGGTGGAGATGGTTGTAGCCTTCAGCGCTCCCATGTTTTCCCTGGTTGGGGATGGCTTGATGAGAGCTGGGGGAGCGAGAGTCAATCTTTGTGCGATCGCCACTGGAGAGGCTCTCGTTGGAGTGCTGGTCGGCTTCATCTGCGATCATGATAGGACTGCCAGGCTCGCTGATTCCCATTGCGCCTCCGTCAGAGTGGTTATTCCGAGGGGCGTAAGCACCGAAGCCAGCAAACGAGTTGAAGTTATCAGCCACTGGGACGGTGGGGAGTGAGTGCAGGTTTTGTTGGTGGGCGTCATGGCGTGTCTGGTTGGTGCGAGAGTTGGGGTCCATGTAGGATTCTCTCTTGGAATCGTCAGAGAATTCAGAGGTGTAGGTGTGTCGATTAGCGGATTTCGTGGAGTCTGTTTTTGCCGTCAGGAGTGTGCGAGTACATCCTGGGGCCGGGGCCTGGCCCCTCAAACTCAGAATAGTGCTAAAGGGTGGGAACCTGAACC